TGGTGCCACCTCCAAATCCTGAATATATGTGGGAGTGCCCATGGCATGGATCTGGAGAAGAAAGCCCTTTCCTTCCTACCACTAGGCTAATCAGGGCTTGAGGTCAGCTTTGTGCTTCTCCAAAACCCTTCATTTGCTGTATCTCCCTTTCCAGGCCCAAGCACCTCCTCCAACAAAGGGTTCCCCATGTGTCTCCCCAAACCCTTCCCATCCAAATCCTGAATATATGTGGGAGTGCCCATGGCATGGATCTGGAGAAGAAAGCCCTTTCCTTCCTACCACTAGGCTAATCAGGGCTTGAGGTCAGCTTTGTGCTTCTCCAAAACCCTTCATTTGCTGTATCTCCCTTTCCAGGCCCAAGCACCTCCTCCAACAAAGGGTTCCCCATGTGTCTCCCCAAACCCTTCCCATCTGCCAAATCAACCCTTCTCTTGCTGTCACCTTCACACTCCAAGTTCTCTTTCTCTGTCCTACTCTCTACCCAGCCCAGTTTACTGCACTACGATGCATTTATATCTCTCCCCAAAGACCATCCCCCTGATTTTTGACTTGGTGCCATTTCAGCTCTCTCAGCAGTAGAGGCTTCTCAACACAGGCCCCAATGCTCCAGTGCAGTTTGCATTGCAGGGTCCACCTCCTCAACAGTTCTGTGGTCCATTACAGTTGGCATCTTTCCTGTTCTCTGTTGTTCAAGATTTCCCCTCCTGCCTCTTCTCCCAAGAGAGCACCAGTTTCCTATGGTGGGGGAATCCCTAAACTTGCCTATAGTCTGGGATCCCATCACATTCAACTAACATGCAGATGTGATACGCCCATGGCAAGTCACTTATAAACCTAGTCAAGCATCATCACATGCAAAAACTCACTTTGCACACACCACAGACTGTGACTTCAACCACACGCTTGGGTTTGCACGGGCACTGGTGCATAAGTAATTTAGGAGGGGTGAAAAATAACTATTGCTTGAGCTTATCTTTGGGGTTAAGTGTCTAAAAAGAGATGTCCTGTCAACCGTTTGGAAGAACCCAGAGTACACCTAAAAAACCACCTGAGAAAAGGGAAAGGGATTTCCAAAACCATAATCAGGGGCAGAATTATACATCTTTAAATTAGCATGTGATTGAAGCCCAAGCCAATACCCTGACCTCAAATTCCCCTTTCTAACTGTCAATTCTCACATCCATATAAGATTTCTCTCTTTAAATGCATTTTTTGTGACTGTTTTTCAAGGATGGTACATTAACCCTGGAATATAAAGGTATGCTAAAGCTGCTGGTTTGGGTTTAGTTTGTTGGGGGCTTTTTTTAACTGTGCAAGGCATTATGTTGGTGCCAATGCCCAGTTCTAGTAAGACAACACACCAAATCATAGGCATATAGTTCACCTCTGAGCGATACCACACACATCAAAAAAAGGCCAGTGTGTATTCCTGCGCCCCAAGCTGTCCTGTCCTCTGGGGACCATCTCCCACCAGTTTCCCTGGGTGGGCAACTCCTCCTTCCTCTAACTGCTCAGGAGTTTTTGAGAAGTTTGCCCTTCCCTTCATGGCCTGGAAAGAGAAGACACTATCCTAAAGCATTCCCTTGCCCCATCTGTACTGCCCTGTGCAAAATGAGACCTACCCACAGACCTCTGGAGAGGTAATGCACCTCCTCCTCATTTCAGGCAACCCTGAAATTCCAGAGCTTGTGAAATCCTCTTTAGCACCAGGATATCTTTTAAACACTGGCACAGACTGAAAAAGCAGCTTTATATTGAAATTTGTATAGTCTGGGCAAGACCTCAGGCTCACTCTGGATCAAGGTGAGAGCAGCATGAGTGCAGTCCACAGACCTATCCAAGGCTTAGACTAGCAGATCCAAGATCAGGATCCATACTAGTGTGTCACTCAATTTGTGCAAGGCTATTTGGTTAGCTTCCTCCTTATACTTCTTACAGAAACGTGAGGGATTGGGTGTCACCAGCTGAGCACCAGTACACTCCTGCTGGTCTGTGCAGGGGCACTGAACATGCACAGAGCACAGAAATTGACAGAATTATTCAGGATTCAACCACCCCTTGACTGCACTTGCCTAGAAGAATTGAGCGGTAATTCTTACTGTAATTTGTGAGGTAGCAAGAAAAGAGCACTCCCATAAAGCTGATGTGGAGAGCAACTGGGTGCCATCTCCAGAAACAAATCCATAGTGGGAATTACCTGCTAAAAACTGCTGAGTATCAAAGAGTTTGCATGTTTGGTCCCGCTCCAGCTTGTTGGGTCTGTCACTGCAGAGCGCCAGAGGCCCATCCCAGTAGATCCTGCTTTGGCAAAGTCTCTTAGCATAGAGGCCATCAGGTGCCATCCACAGTATTACTCCTCGTTCCAGGTGGTTCAGTAGTTTTTCTATGTTCTTCCTCTGGCCATTATCCTCTGGATAAGGAAAGATAACTTGGTCCAGGCTGCTGACCTCATAACTTTGGCCATGGGATATCCTACAACCTTCAGGACTAGAAGTTGTCACCTCCTTCACCAGTATTTCACGGTAATATAAGCAGATGTGGAGTCGACAGTCTACAAGGAGAAACAAACAAACAAACAAACAAAATCACTGTAATACATTAGTATGGACATTTTACGCCAGATCTGTATTAAGGCCAAAGACAAATCTGCACGAGATTTCTGAGCCTGGTGGTCAGCACCACTCGAAGCTCATATTAGCAAAAAGAAAAATATAAAGAATATAAATACTAAAACTTCTGGGACATGGTAGCATTAATGCACTCTCGTTTTATTAAAAGGGCTATAGATGTATGGGAATTTGGTAGGAACTAACATCCCACAAACTTCACATTTCTGTTTAAAAGGAAAAATCTGCACACAAAAAGTTGTTGCTTGTCACATTTTCCAAGTTCATGTCACAATTAAACCCACCAGCTCAGAACACTTCCTCAGTTTTAATAAGGAAGTAGCTGTGTTTCTCCCCAGATTTTGCATAAATGAGGCTTCTGCACAGGGGACCTGCAAACTTGTACTCAGCTGCCTGAAGAGAAGTGACTGCTGGCTCCAGCTCCAACAGGGCTGTACCCAAAATCCTCAGCCTTACTTTCAGATTGCCATTTGGTCAACTTGGCTGACTCCCAAGAATTCAAGCAGCACTGAAA